GCAGTGGGGACAGCTGGCTGCACCCAGCTGGAACTGCTGGTGTTCTCTTCTGGGGGGAGCTAGGGTTAGAGACTCCAGCAGAGACTGACTGGTCTCTGGAGTAGGGGCCACATGCTCCCCATTGGGTGCCTGCCATGCTGCCTCCAGGTAGGGGACCACTAGCCCCGTCTTCCCGGCCCAGTCAGGCTGCTCTACCAAGTCTGTGCTGTGCGGAAGGGGAACTGGGGTGCAGCCAGCTTAAGCCCACCCCACAGTCTTTCTTCAAAGGGCTCTGGAGGAAGTCCAGGCAACACCAGGGGTGGCAGAATAGTTAACAGACAGACACAGATCTGAGAGAGCCTTGAACCTTTTATTGATCTGCCCCCAGCTCAGAGCTGTAGGAAGCTGACCCTTGAACACAGCTTGGCCCCTCTCAGACTCACCCAGGGCCAGTGGACACAGCCACAGGTCAGCTAATAATACCACGGTAGCTCCAGACAGGTAGCTAAGGCCAGTTACACACAGCGTCTGACACTGACCTGTACCAGAACCCGTCCAAGTGGTCCCAGAAGCAGCAAAACCAGTGGTGGGCTTCCAACCTCACCAGAGCTCGACCCAGCTAGCCACACAAATGGCACAGCCAAAGAAGAACTCCCACAGGTACCAGAACCTGCTGGAGACAACTCTGCCTGGGGAGGGGCAGCCCCTGAGCAGCGTACTTGGGCGATGAATGCGTGATGCAGTATGCAGGTGATGTTTTGTTTGAAATCTGTGTGGTTTTGTTAACCAACATCACCCCAACAAACTAAAAAAAACAGTAGTTCCAATATTACTCAAATTATTCCCAAATGAAGAAAATGACAAACTTCCTTAACACATTTTATGAAGGCAGATTTTAACACCAAAACTACTATAGTAACCCCCAAAGAAGGAAACCATGTAATAAATATAGATGGGAAAACTAAATAAAATATTGGCAATGATTCAAAAGACTAATATACTGTGACTAGTCGCAGCTTAATTCAAGGAATGCAAGAGTGAAATTCAATGTGATGAAGAATATTTACCAAAATTAACAGTAAACATCATGTTACTTGTGAAATAAAAAAATCATTTAAAATGAAATCAGAAACCAGACGGGATTTGCACTATTGCTATTGTTACTATACGTTGTCTTGATGAGTCCAGCAAATGAAATAAACAATGAAAAAAGATACCCTATTTTTGCTAATTACATAATTGTATATGTAAAAACCGAATAGACTATAGTTTACAAAGAAAAAGCCCTCGTAGAATTAATGAGAATATCTGATAAGGTACTCTATGATATAAAATAAATATACAAAAGTCATACAATTTCTCTATTCTAGAACAAGTATACAGAAACAGAAAAAGTATTCCATACATGATAGTAAAAAAGGAAATAAAATATCGTGATGGACTGAAAGTTTGCATGGTCCCCAAAATTCATACATTCATATCTAGTTGCCAATTGGTATTTGAGAATGGGGTCTCTTGGAGACATTAGGTCATAACAGTGGACCATTGTGAATGGGATTAGTGCCCTTATAAGAAGAGGCCAGACAGACAGTAGCTCTCTTTCTGCCATGTGAGGATACAATGAGAAGTTGACCTTTGCAGCCCAGCAGAGGACCCTCCCCAGAACCTGATCAGGCTGGCACCCTGACCTCAGACTTCTCTTGTTTATAAATTTCTATTGTTCACAAACCAAACTGACTAAAACCATTGTTAGCAGCCCAAACTGACTCAGACAAATACATAGTAAGAGACTCAGCAAGACAAGCATATGATTACAACTATCAAATCAGGCCCTGCCTGGTGTAGCTCAGTGGATTGAGTGCAGACTACGAACCAAAGGGTTGTAGGTTTGATTCCCAGTCAGGGCACATGCCTTGGTTTTGGGCCAGGTCCCTAGTGGGGGCCATGTGAGAGGCAACCCTACATTAATGTTTCTCTCCTTCTTTCTCCCTCTCTTCCTCTCTGTCAAAAAAATAAATAAAATCTCTAAAAAAAAGGCAACTATAAAATCATATTAAAGGGTAAGTTTAAAAATCTGTACCAATGAAAAAGCATCCATATTCTTAGATAGGAAGATTTAATATCAAGTCTCTTAATATTATAAAAAATGTAGAACTAAAAAGTAAGTAAAATATAAGTTCCTAAGAGAAAAAAGTAACATTGCAGAAAAGCTGAGGAAATCTGAATGAAGTACGGATGCTAGTTAATACTAATGCATCAACACAGATTCATTAACTGTGACATGTATCACACCTAACGTAAAACGTTAACAGGGAAACTAGGTGAAGAGTATGTGGAAACTCTTCGTCTATCTTCACAATTTTTCTGTAAATCTAAACTTGGAAAAATAAAGTTTATTTTTTAAATTATTTTATTTTTTATTGTTGTTCAAGTACAGTTGTCTCTAACCCCCCCACTTTATTTTAAAAAAATACATTTGTAAGACAATTAAGATTTTAAAAATTGAATATAATTCCAAGTAAATGGATAAAAGTATCTTAAAGTTTAGAGAGAAAATTAATACCCAGTAAAACAAATACATGAATGAAAAGGAAAGGAAATATACTAGAGAGACACTTTAATTAAATCAATATGGAGTATTAGTCTAGGAATATATAAGTAGATCAATCAGTAGAACAGAGAATCCAGAAGTAAAATCCAGTTGATATAAGATTTTAATATATGACAAAAATGTATTTCAATTCAATGGGAAAATAGTGATTATTTAATAAATGGTGCTGGCACAACTGGCTATCCATCTGGTAGAATACAGTCCGTTCCCAATCTCATATTAAAAAATAAAAATTCCAGACGGAGTAAATAAGTAATGTAATAAATAAAGCATCTAAAAGTTGGTAGATAACAACACTTACAGTCTGTTTATTAGCCAGAAAAAAAAGAGAACCATATTTGAGTTTATAAAAATTAAAAATGCAAATTACGGTAAAAAATCATATATCACTGTACCTCAATCAGATAAAAAGAAAATTAGAGAGCAGTAATACCAATGACTGACAGGATAAAGAGAAAAAAATGTAATTTGTTTATAATTCTTTGGAAAGCAGTCTGACAAATATTTTCAAATTAATAGCACACAGACAATCCAACCAAGTCACATTCCTGGGAATCTATCCCCTAAAAGGAAAATTGACAACAAAATGTCTATTATGGCATTGCTCTTAGTGCAAAAACAGCAAAACACCATGCAACAAAATGAGTTCCCAGCAACAAGGTAATGAATAATGGTCCATCTATGCCGTGGAACATGAAGCAGCCGTTAAAAAGAATAAATTAGAGCTATGCCATTAGACTTGGAGGAATGTTTATGGATGTATTTTTGAATGATAACAGTGAGGTACAGAAAAGTGCATACACCATAAGCCCATTTTTAAAAAGCAAACATTGATCACCACACCAAACTGTATGTGTCCCGAGTGTGCGCGTGTGCATGAAAGATGAACGCGGAGACAAATATAGAAGGAATGCACCAGGTTGCTAACACAGGTTACTGGTGGTATGAGGGGGGCAGGGCTGTGCAGGGGGTGGAAAGAAAAAGTGGGCAGAATGTATGGTATGACTGCACTGATGTTAATCAAAAACCTGCTACAGTATGGACTAGGATATAACATGACTGGCGTGAGTGTCCCTCCCTCCTCCACAGAGTCCCCACTCTCAGTCCCCCTCCGAGTCATCTGGCATTTTCTTATGCATTGAACTATTGGTCTGGTACAACATTAAGTCTCACTTTTCACTATTTTTTTCTTTTCGCATGTTGCAACAATCCTACCGAAAATATTGTTTCCCATTAACATTTTATGAAGTTGAATTTTTGAACCCACTTTTCAAGCTGGGGTGCAGTTTTACACACAAGCACAAGTAAGTACCTACACATAAAGAAATTAGACAGAACAAGGAGTTAATAGTTATATATTTACTGATTGTTGACCGTCCATCAAATTACAAAACTGGTTACAGAAAAATATGCATAAAGTACTCTATTTCAATAAAAACCAGCAAAACCCTAATTATAAATGTATGCTTAAGTACATTTAAATGAAACAGAAAGCTTTGAAAAGTTGGCACAAGTTACACAAAGGGAGAGAAGCGGAGGGGAAGGGGTAGATTCTAGTTTTGCTTTTATATCTCCCTGCATCTTATTACTTCACATATTATAATAGACAAAAAAGTATGGTTTTAAAATCTGAAACATTAAGTAGTGAAAACAAAAATAAATGGCAAACAATAAAGCAAAATGAATTGGGTATTAATTAGTATCTACCTCATAAGATGCTTGTAAAGATTACATGAAATAATTTATGAAATATAAATGTTTAGCATATAGCCTATTATATTGCTTATGCTCAATAAATGTTAGCTTTTTTTTTAAAAGACTACCGATAGCAGTGGGATTTACAAACCTGAAAAGATAAGGCCTTTGAAAATGACAGGGCACTTATTTCTGTATTTCTGAATCTGGTGTCCTTTGGTGTGCAATGCCTCATACCATGGTAACTATACAGCTCATTAAACACACTTTCACTGACAGTAAAAATAAAATTACAATTAGTAAAAAAAAAAAATCTTTAAACAATAAAAAGGAGATGAAAATCTTTTTGCGTTGAAGACTAAAAGTAGCAAGAACCATCCTAAGATGTACGCTTCTGTCTCAACCACTTCAGATGAAAACATGTGGACCCTGGATACTTCCCCGCAGGTTAGAGGGGAATTGAAACACATTTCATAGAGATTGGAGACTGATGCCATTTCTCATTTTGAGGGTCTGACCTGTGGGAAATCCATTCCCAAATGCAGAAATTCCATTCCCAGTTCTGAGAATTTCTTTGCTGGTCTGCCTAAAAGCATGTTAGTTTAGTTATAATCTACAAACTGAATTTGGTACATCAACACGATTCCTGTTACCCAATGAAATATTCAAATAAGTTCATAAATCACATGAGTGTGTTATTAGTCTTGCTACTTACATGGAATTGACTTTCTCTTCTGGGCCTTGCACTTGGCCTGTCACAGTGCCTTGGCTAGTGTTCTTCACCCAGCCAACCACTCCTATTTTCTTAGCCTCGCCTTCCGTGTACTGGTTTCAGGAGGGAAAAAAAGAGGAAAAGAAAGTCCACCATCAAAAGTTTGAATTTACAATATACTTGATTCTAATATTTAAAAAGTGCTAGGCTGATAATTTTTTTCTTTAAAACATAGTCTATCCCAAAAAATCGTGTAGCTGGCCTACAGTAAGTCCTCTATTTACAAGAACCTTTGCTTAAGTGAAATGTTTTCTTAAATTCTACTTTCAGTAAAGACAAGCATGTTGCAAGAAAATAAAGTGATATTGGGAATTACTTCAAAAAACAGTTTCCATGATGGGTTTTGGGATCCATAAAATTCAGTCGCATTGCCTTTACCTCAGCTAATACTACATTACATAGTTAATTTAGGTTCCAAATGATGCTCACTCTGAAATTCTCAATCACTGCTGAAAAATATCCAGTTATGATCAACAGAAAGTACTGGATAAAAGTAGTTTTCTGTTCACTCTGGATTTACCATGCAAATGTTGTATTTCTCTACAGGTAACTTTATTCCTCCTATTATTCTTAATATTTGTTTGTTTTTGTTTTTTTTTTATTTCTTTTCCTGGTTCCAAACTGTCATGCTATTGGCAAGTAAAAATCTAGCAATGTTTTGATTTTCAGTTGCAGTAAATACATCATATTAAAATTCTTGTGGACCCAGTTGACCAGACCTTTTTAAAAACACACTCTTCTGTCTGGAAGCCAGGGTGACCAAGATCTCTACACTCCACGTTCCACACAACATGAAGCAACACAGAGACAGTTACACATGGGATGGCTGCAGCTAGGGCTGAGGTATAAGCCGGTTCTGATAATGAGTCAAGCTCTAGGTCATAATGGGAAGGGGGACAATCTGTAGAGGATGCAACTATCTCATAGCTGGGAACACGGTAGAGCGCCCAGAGGTTAGAACAGAGACCTAGGCTATGACTGACAGCTCAGACAGTAAGTGAAAATACAAGCCACATTTAACCTTTAGAAAAGGAGTATGTTAACAAAATCAAAACTTTAAAGGCAACAAGGAGTTTTAACCTCTAAAACTCTGGGAACCACTGCCTTCCTCAGCATGAGCATTTTTCGTTATGCAATTTGAGACACATACGCTCATGGAGAGGATTTCTTCCATCCAAAACAAGATCCCGTATTTTGTATTCAACATACCTAATCAAAATGTTCAATTTGATTACCTCAAAAGAGGTATTTTGAAATTCATAGGCAACATTAGTAAAGGCTAGGAAGGCTGTAATGTTTTTTTAATGGACTATTTTGTAAAGGCAGTGCTAATAAAAATCTCAGCCAGTAATTTGTATTTGAGGAAGTACAAATATGCTCTTATTTACTGTCAAAGATGGGAAATAAGCAGTAGACTAGTGTAAGTAGAAAAATGCTCTATCTTTGTGATTAGAAATAACTGTGGGAGAAAAATGGCAAAAAAATAACAGATTGTATTGACTTACCATTCTGAAGCACACACCTGTATAAAAGAATGATGAAAAACAGTCAGCTTGTTACCTCTAAAAATTTTTATATTTCCTAACTTAATTTTCATCTGTTGTACTAAGTACTAAGTAAGTAAAAGGGACAGAAGTTTTACTATTTGAATATATTCAAAAAACATTTTTAACATTATCTTCCCTTAAAATAAAAAGAGAAAGGAAAAATTACTTTTGGAGAAAATTAGTAATCTGAATATTTCATTTTATTTGAATATTTTATTCAAAGTATAATAAAATATCAAACTTTATATTTATTCTATTGCAGCGATTTTCAACCAGTATGCTGCAAGAATTTTTAAAGCGTGCAATACGTGACTATTAAGTCAGGGGTGCTGACTTTTTTTCCCTTAGATTGTGAAAGGAAATACACCAGAAAGCCACTTTAATTAAGTCAGTAAAGAGTATTACTGTATTATGCCATGTATAATGAGTTTCCATGTGTAATGCACACCCACAGTTCTGGTCCAAGCTTTCAGGAAAAAAGTCTTTCCTTTTAATTTTTTAATTCAATGATTTATTTATTTATATTTAGAAACAAGACCAATTATCATATTCCGGGGCATTATTTTGCATATGGATAATGTTATTGCTTTCTAGAGATATTTAATGCATAGACATAAGCAAAAGAATTAAAAACATTTATATACATACAGAATTAGTACATCCTTATTAGCACATCCTTATTTTCCCTCAAAAATTTGGAAAAAAGAGTGTGCATTATACACAGCAAAATAAGGTAGTCTAGGAATATTTAAGTAGATCAATCAGTGGAACAGAGAATCCAGAAGTAAAATCCAGTTGATATGAGATTTTAATATATGACAAAAATATATTTGAATTCAATGGGAAAATAGTGATTATTTAATAAACAGTGTTGGCACAACTGGCTATCCATCTGGTAGAATACAGTCAGTCCCCAATCTGATATTATAAAATAAAAAGCAAATTCTAGATGGAGTAAATAAGGAATGTAATAAATAAAGCATCGAAAAGTTACAACACTCATTAAAATGACAACTTATTTGAGTTGTAATTACATTAAAATTACAACTTATTTGAGTAGAACAACCATCAGTCAGAACCATAAGAAATCGAGTTGAATGAAAGTGTGACAACTATGAAATTAAAGAAACCACATCCATACAGGCTGGTAGGAGGGGCAGAGACAACGAATGGGCAGGTCCCACATCTACATGTGGCGGATAAAAATTCAAGAGGGATATCTCAGGAGTGAGGAGTCCCAGCCCCACACAGGTCCCACCACCCAGAGTACCAGTTCCAGCAAGACAAGTCACCATAATTTCTGGCTGTAAAAACCAGAAGAAATGAGTTGGTGGAAGAAACTCCTGGAAGTCCCAAGCAGTTCCCCTTAAAGAGCCCACACACACTTATGCAGGCTCACTCCTCTAGGCTCCAGCACCAGCACAGCAGCCTGAAATGCACCAGTGGCATACAGGAAAGAAGTGAAGTATCTGGCATCAAGATGGGAACTGGGGGACAGCTTTCTCCCAGACAAAAAGGCAGACAGAGGTCACTGTCCCTTTTCTGAACCCTCCCCCAACAGAGTCACAGAGTCCTCAAGCAAGTGCCAGATCTGCGACTCCATCAACCTGGCTAACACTGTTTGCCCCGCCCTGGAGGTCCCCTGAGACTCCATCCCACCCAATTTACAGGCCCACCCAAGCTGTTAACAGAGACTTTTCCATATGAATGGCTAGTCTTGGCTCATGCTTCACAACTTTCAAACTCCTAGCAAACAAGCAATAGCTGGCCTTAGTAAGCCTCCTCCCACCATACCTCTTGCTAAGTGGCCCCAGGCCTGGCACCAGCAGCAGCCAGGCTAGATTCACAGCTTGGCTTCACCTCAGAATCTCCAAGCCCAGCACAAGCAGCAGCCATCTCAGATTGCTTTATGCAAGGTGGCCCTGGGCAGAACACAGGTAAAGGCTGACCTTGGCCTGTACCACCCAGGAAACCCCAGAGCCAGTGTACCCAGTGGACAGCTACAGACTACATAGGAGTGGCACCACCCTGTCCTGCACAGCTGATCCTTCACAAAGGGCAGAGGTTGGTGGTCGGTGGTCACAGCCAGTCCTTATAGCTGACTAGCCTGGATAAATCCCTCCCATTGATCTGCCAACAGCAACCAAAGCTCAACTACAAGAGGAAGGTGTGCTCAGTCCACATAAAGGACACAGCTCGAGTACCCACTTTGGGTGATAGGGGAGGCTGTAGCACTGGACCACACAGGACACCAATTATATTAGGTCACCTATCAAGACACGGAGCCAAAATGTCTCTACGTAATACATAGAAGCAAACACAGGGAGGCTGCCAAAATGAGGAGACAAAGAAACATGGCCCAAATGAAAGAAGAGATCAAAACTAGAAAAAGAGCTAAACAAAATGGAGACAAGCAATTTATCAGATGTAGAGTTCAAAATACTGGTTACTGAGATGCTCAAGGAACTTAGCAAGGACCTCAACAGCATAAAAAAGATCTAGTCAGAAACGAAAGATACACTAATTGAAATAAACAACAATTTACAGGGATACAACAGTAGACTGGATAAAGCCAAGAACCTAACCAATGACTTGGAACATAAGGAAGTAAAAAAACAACCAATCAGAACAACAAGAAAAAAAAAGAATCCCAAAATATGAAGTTAGTGTAGGCAGCCTCTGGAATAATTTAAAGCATTCCACACATTCATATCATAGGGGTACCAGAAGGATAAAAGAAAGAAAGAATTAGAAATCTATTTGAAAAAAATAATGAAAGAAAAATTCCCTAAATGTGGTGAAGGAAATAGACATGCAAGTCCAGGAAGAACAGAGAGTCACAAACAAGGAATGCAAAGAGGCCCATTGAAGACACACCATAATTCCAATGCCAAAGGTTAAAGATAAGGAGAGAATCTTAAAAGCACCAAAAGAAAAGCAGTTAGTTACCTACTGGGGAGGTCCCATAAAACTATCAGCTGATTTCTCAAACTTTGTAGACTAGGAGAGATTGGCAAGAAGTATTCAAAGTTATGAAATACTGGGACCTACAGCCAAGATTGCTCTACCCAGCAAAAATATAATTTAGAATTGAAGGGCAAATAAAGAGCTTCCCAGACAATAAAAAACTAAAGGAGTTCATCATCGCCAAACCATTATTATATGAAATGTTAAAGGGAATTTTAAGAAAAAAGATTAAAGCTATCAACAGTAAAATAACAGTAAACTCACAAATATCAACAACTGAATCTAAAAACCAACCTGAGCAAACAAAGAACAAAGACAGAATCATGGATACAGAGAGTGTTTTGATGAATGCCAGACAGAAGGGGAATGTGGGAGAGTGGGTGAAGAGGTGAGGGGATTAAGAAGTACAAATAGGTAGTTACAGAATAGCCATGGGGATTTAAAGTCCAGTATAGGAAATGGAGTAGCCAAAGAACTGATACACATGACCCATGGACATGAACAATGGTGTGGGATTTCCTGCGGCTGTGGAGAGGTGCTGGGAGGTGGGGGTGGGAAATATTGGGTCAATTGTAATGGCATGATCAATAAAATATTTATTAAAAAGTCAGAAGAAAACCTAGAAAAACCACACTTACAGCCTGTTTAGTAATCAAAATTATAACTATTTTTTGTCATACTGGCAAAAATATTTTTTGGCATGCCTCAGAATTTGTAATTAGTTTATGTATTCCATGAGATGATAAAGCTTGAAAATCGCTGTTCTATTTTAAAATGCTAAATGAAATAAAATGCTTATTACAAGGACAGTTGAGTATACTCGACATATAAAATTTACCTAACCACAGCTTTTAGAATCTGTTCTTTAAATACAAGAACTAAATCCAACTTTAAGCATAATAAGACACTTCTGTTTTAATTTTAATTCCACATTCTGGGAAAGGCAAAACTACAGGTACAAGAAGCTAATCAGCGGCTGCCAAGGCCTGGGAGAGGAGAGGAGTGCCACAGTCACCGGGAGTCTGGGGGACGATGGCGCTGTTCTGCATTTCAGCTGTGGTGGTGACGACATGACTCTGCAGTTTTCAAAACTCCTTGAACTGCACACTAAAAAGGGTGAATGTTACTGAGTTTAAATTATACTTCATTTGAAAAATAAATTAGAAGAAAAAACTCAGGACATCACAGGGGATAAATCAGCCAAAAAATATTGCTTCTGTTAATAGCAATTGCACCTGGTGAAGAAAATACAGAAGAAGGAATCAGAGGGTTAGGTAATCTTACGTACTTCTGTAAGTGGATTTATAGTAATAAGAGGTATCATTTGTTTCCTGACGATAGTGTATCATGGTACCAAATGAAGAAACACAGTAAAGCTATAAAAACAGGATAATATCACAAGTGGAATTCTTACAGCACCATAAAAATACCTGATGAGTGGAAGTATAGATCTGAAGGGGAATCAGAAAGGCAATCTGTGATATGGACAAAGGGAGAGACACTAGCTTGCAGACATGAAAGAAAGTGGCAGAAAATTCTGGAAAAATGTGTTAAGCCAGACCATGCAGAAAGAGAAACCTGGAAGAGACACCAACCCCTGCGGTTGGTGCTCAAGGAAAGACGTGAGCACACTGTGCTGCTTAGTCGAGGCTCCATCAGCTGCACCAGGACCTCACTCAGTGGAAAGACAGTCCGTGAGAAACTCTGAGGTCAGTAGGCAATCACAATTTGCAAAGGCAACCACACTTTAAATCTACAAAGAAATATTGGTATTTGACAAAAGCATATCTTGAATTTTAAACGTCAGCCTCCTGTCATGTAAAATCAGATTTCCCTGTTGTAACACACCCCTTCACCCTGGGACCTGGCTGCACGCGTCAGCTTTGAATGCAGAATGTCATCCAGTCCCCAGCTGACAAAGCAGCCCTTGATGAATCTAAACATCTTCAGTGGTTAGGAAGGACTTACTTATAGGGAATGAAATTCTGCCTCGCTTTAACTTTTCTCC